AGTTCATCCAGACCATTCATTACGCCAGCGAACATGTCACTTATATCGCCAGTGGCCCCAAACGACGGGGTTAGTCCCAAAGAAGATGAGGTCAATTGCGGCTGCAGCCTGGTGCTTGATGACGCACCGCCTTTCTGCTCATCGACGTCATCAATCTGTCGAACGTTGATGACGCTCCCATCGTTATCCCATCTGACATGGGCCTGGTCGGCGAGGCGGACGACGCCTTCCTGCTCATGTCGTTCCTTGGGCACGGTGTGAAGTTCACATCCGGATGGGTTATCTCCGGGTAGTCATAACTGGAAGATAAACCTTCAGTTCATAGTGACGCCATGCGCTCATCGTACAAAGACTTCCAGCTCTTCTTGGCCTTCGAACCCAGTTGTTCTTCACTCGGGCTTATACTCGACATCATCGCGTTGTTTCTCTGCTTGGTCAGGGATGAGTGGGTATTAGCTGAATGTGAATTTTTTCTCCTCCACCTATGACTCTTGGTCTCCGATTTGGACATTCCCTTGAAAAACACTTCCTCTCGCGGCTCGACCTCGGAACGCTCCGAGGCCTCCTCCGTCCTCTCAACTTCTTCCCGCTCGAGGTCCTCGCTCGGATCAAAGTCGAGTCGAATAAGCGTCGAAATAAGAGTCGAATAAACCAAGCAGAGGTTTTTCTCGATCCTTAGTTTCATTTCGTTCACTGAAAGATCAGGTTGACCTTTAGTCGATTCGGTTTCGGCAAACACGTCGGAGGCGCTGCTAAACGAGGACTGCCCTTGCTCACCCTGGGAATCTCAGTAGTCGATCCTAACGAGTCCCTGCGCTGCATACTTTGTGACAAATAACAATATTCTTATTATTTAATGGCGATGCACACGTACCGCAACAAGTTCAAGTTAAATTACTTAACGCTGCCTCTTCGATTTCTCAATGACAATCTTAGCGATTCAGCTAAAGTTACACACAGGGCTTGCTCAGTATTGATATAATGCTAACTCAACCCTGTTGTATAGTATAACAGTATTACAAAATTTTCACAAGATATAATCAACACACAAAACACAATCGACAATCAGATAAGAATATCATACAGGTGACAGCGACCTTTCGTCAGTATCAATTTATCGCCACACAATTTATCAAGTCACTGCTTTGTTAAAATCAAACAATCTTTGGTAAAAAGCAGTGATGATTCAGAAACAGATCAACAAAACTTAGTCTTAAAGAAAAAGACTTCCCTCAATCGGAACGATCCGAAAGAACGAAGCCCAGGACACAGTCTTCTCAAGAGAGTGTGTATTTGCCTAAAACACCCATCGAGGTCTTCTTTTAGGTGTCCTGCGATTGCCCGAGCTGTCCTATTAAGTAGCTCAAGGCAACCTCTGATCGAAAACTTCTAAAGTCTATGAAAAAGCTCCCCCACACCCGGAACGCTCCAAGTGCACGAGAGCAGGGAACAACTTTTCTTCTCAAGTGAGTGTGTATTTGCCTAATACACTCACCGAGGTGTTCTTTTATTTGTTCCCGGATTGCCCGAACTTTCCTATTAAGTAGCTCAAGGCAACCACACAACCAAAATCACAATAAAAAAAATTTTTTTTTGTTCGGGTACTTCCGATACACCCGACCTAGAATCCAAAATTGATCACGAATTTCCGGGTCAAAATGGGCTCCTATGATCCTAATCAGCACGCCTAATATCCTATTATGATCTTAATTAAATGGATATTTTCCGTTTCCCAAATTGCCACAGGTTTCCTCAAGTTTCTAACAAGGAAGATTGTTAGAAGGTTTAATTCACTCCGGAGGGTTACTTCGGAGGGTTGTTAAGACACTTAGCCTACTCCGGAGGTTACTTCGGAGGGTGCCTTAGTCACCCAAGAGACTTCGGAGGGTCCCCCTTAACTCACTAAGTAGGGTCAACAAGAGGGTTAATATGCTCCGGAGGGTTACCTCGGAGGGTTCTTCCAAAATTTTCAAGTTTTTGAAAAGGGCCTTCAACTAGCTTAAGAAAGCGTCAAAACAAGCTAAATTCCTTATGGGGTGTGGTTTTTAACTCCTTTGGAGGGTCTCGTGGAAAATCTCCACTAAGGAGGGTTGCTAAAGGGCTTAAGTCACTCCGGAGGGTTACTCCGGAGGGTTCCGCGAAAATCAGGAAAAAGGGTTAATTTACCGCAATAAAGCCTCTGAATGCTGTGTAACTTGCTTAAAACCAGGTTGGTTGACACGGTCAACCTTCCCAGCAGGATAAAAAGGTGTTTTGATAAAACGTTTTGCCGCTCGGAGGGTTACCTGTAATTTGGACCCTCCGAACCAACAAAATCTAAAAAAAAATTTCTTTTCCGAGATTATCAACCCAAAAACGGTTGCGGTCCGGAAAAGTGGTCCAAAACGTCGACTTATGGTACCAAAATTATCCCAATCGGTTGGCTAGTCTTTGAGAAATTGCCAAAAACGTGTTTGTCCAAATGGGCTTTTTTCACCACCTATATAGGTTCTGAGTAACTTTTTCCGCAATTCCTGTCGAAAAGGCCTAAAAACAATTGAAACGAGCGTAGTAGCCCTATACGGCACTGGAATTATGCAAAAAACCGGACCAAAATTGGTTTGGAGACAAAAATTTGGCCAATAACTATCAAATTTGAACCCTCCGATTCCTTCCTTTTCCAATCCTTAAGTCGTTAGCTCTATCCACGGAGCTAATCGGAGGGTTACTCAAGAATTTTTCTGGCAGCCGAGCACGTTATGTTAGCACGCTCCTAATACAAAAGATTTTATTGCTCTAACTTTAAAAACTCAAAAACTCGATCCCAAAAACAGATTGACAAAATTCAGAGAATTATCGAAATTTTGATCGAAAGATTTTGTTTTTTTCCAACTTCTACTGAGTCTTTTCTCACGCGGTTTCTTTAGTTAGGGGGATCGAAATACGTAGCTACTCCCTATATAAAAGTTTTTTGCTGTTCGGAAAAGCTCGGATATCCAAAAATTTGGGGGTCTACAGTTTGGTCGAAAATCGATAACTTTCGACGAAATTTGGGTGTTTCTTGGGTCTAATTAGGAGATAAGTAATATATAATAAGGATAATAACCTATTAGTAGTCGTTAATGAATAGTACTATACCCTCTTTTGCACCAAAATACCCGAATTAAGACCCTTAACTCGGAAATTTGTAATCGATGGAGGGTACAATCGGACCGCGCCAATCGTGCCCCCCACCACTTAAGTTCTGATGAAATAGTACCCGAACGATACCAAAATTGTTTCAACGATACCCAACAGTCGTTGTGGATGTTGTCCCCGATGTCCTGGTTGAGTGTGGAACACGTCGGTCAGCTTGCCACTCTACCCTCCGGCCACCGGCAAAACCACCATTGACGTGCTTAAATACTCAAATCACACTCAAGGGAGGGTATCCAACCCTTCGCCAAAACACACAATCTTTCTATCAGAAACGATATAAATCAATCTGAAACAACAACAAATAGGAAGGTCAGATCACATCCCGTCCGGAAATAACATATAAACTGTCACTTTGTTTTTTTACTGTTTTTGGTCTTTTTTTTGGATTTTTTATTGTTTTTTGTACTTTTTTGTTTTCAAATAAACTTATCTTTGGCTTTTTCTTGGTTATGCACTATTTTTGTTTGGTTTTACGCTTTCTCTTTATTTGTTTTTGGTCCCGGGACTTTGGGACAAGCGGGCTCATGACTTCCCACCTGACCCTCCGGCCCCCGGAATTTTCGGTGTTAACTAAGTTAAAAAGCTAAATAGTACTAGACGGAGCGTACGCACCTTCCCCCTAGTACAATAACGGTCATTAAGGCCTCTAACTCGGGCATACGCCCGGAGCGGAGGGTTCGTCGCTGAAACGCTTGCTGATCATGATGGTCTTATGCCTTTGACAGGTCCACCCAGGAGCGCCATAAAAACTTCTATGTAACATTCGCCCAAATACTACACAGCGACGGAGCGTGAAAAAAGTACCTATGAACGACTGGCAGGCGTCAGTTACCTCAATCCTACTCGTTTTTCACCGTCTCGACCTTGCCAGTTGATTTTCTGCTCTGTACTCATACTCATACTCTAAAATATCAAGTTACACCGGTGTTAATTCAAAGTTCTATGGCATCAGAGTAGCTAAAAATTAGTTTTATATAGTCCCTTCACATACAACAGTCTCTGGGGGACCAAGCCTCCGCTCCCGTAATCTTCCCGAGATAACGCTGTTATCTCTCCCAATTTGTGGCACGTAGGGTTCCGCGGAATATTCCTTCCCCGCTGAAGCTTCCTTCTCCACTAATATCCACTGCTAAGGTTCTTATCGTGTGTTATTGCCACGATAAGAGACTCCGTTTTCTCCACGCTCCCGCACGACTGTTTCTCACTATTTTTGTTGTTGTTCTGCTTTTTCGTCCTTTTCAGTCAAAATGGCCGTCGAAATATTGGCCCGTCAATCGAAATTTTTTTTTGAAAATTCAAATTTTCGGAATATCTAGACCCTCATTCGCAGTAATTTTTCTTTACTAAGGCCTTTATTCGTTTTATTTCGTGTCGCCGGAAGGTTGCGCTGTGACAATCTGGCAGAATGGCACATCTCGTTCGACTAAGCGTCGGAAATTGCGAATAGCAATTTCCCGCTGCTAAATTTGACCACTTTCCCGCGCTTGTAATTCGGTCGTTCTGATCTTATTTTTCTGATATTTTCAGTTGTCTTGAGAAACCTGAGCTTGACATGTCCAATTCGAATTTTTGAAAAATTCCATTTGACCACAAAACCATCTTGTTCGTATTGCTCAAGGTCAAACTTCCAGATATGACCGACTGGCACAAAATCCTGATTTTGCGCTTAATTTTGTCCACAAGTGTAAGTTTTTATAAACCTAAAGATGCACTGTAAATGTGCGACAACGTTTGTTCAAATAACAATTTTAACGTATTCGATTCTTTAACATGACCGACTAGCACACAGATTATGATAACTGCCTATACTTTTTTGTATCAAGATATGAATGTATCCTGTTATGAGCGAAGTCTCAACATTCTGAAGGAGGCAGTTGTTCTACCAGTTCGTTTCCCAGAGCTATTTGCAGGTATTCAGTTCTCTTAATTCTACCTTGCTGCAAGCGAGCACTAGATATCCGAAATTTATGCATTTAGGACGAAACGCTTGGCGCGGCATCCTATTATTTGGGGTAGGTTTTATCTTTAAAATTATAATTTTAAACTTTTTTATTTCTACCTTATTGTTTTTTTTGTTCCAAACATTTGAGAAATGCGGAGGAACCTTGTATTCGGGTGTTTTCATTTTTTTTCTGTTTGTTTTCCACCTAAAATCAGGCGCCACAAATAACCATCGGCTTTAAATCCGGGCTTCACTATCTCGCCATGTTTAAGCTTTTTCAACTTATTATTTTTGCATGGTTAACGAAAGAATTTTTTCACATTTAAGCTATATGGTATATTGCTATGGTTAATATATATTTTTTGATTTTCTTGTTTGAGTTTAGCGTTTATTTCGCCAAGTTTGCAATAAGCAACCCAGTGTAAGATGCTGCCAGGGTTTAAACTGGTGTTGAGTTTTTGGCATCCATATGAATAATCACATCCTTTAAGGTTACGAAATACGGCAATTTTCGAGATTTTTCAAAAAATTTGAAAGAAAACTTAATTTTCAAAAATTTCTGAAAATTCGAAATTATCAGCCTTGTAGTTGAGGGTTGACCGGGTAAGTTCTGAGGTTTCGAATCCTGCGTCCAAATCTCACTTCTCAAATCCTTGTAGTTTTCGACATCAGACGTTTTTAATGATTTTTTCAAAAAACTTGATTTAAAAAATTCAGAAACTTTGAAGATTTCAATCCTGTAATTGGAAACAGTGAGGGTACTCTCAGGAGTTGCTAATCTTGCCTTTGAATATGCCTGCTCAAATCCTTTTAATTTACGAGATTTTACGTTTTCTAGGACTTTTTCAAGATGTTTCAAAGAACATAGATATAAAAAATTTCATTAAATTTGAAGTTCCTATATCTATAGTGAGGATTTTTCAGGGTACTCCCAGAGTTGCGAATATCGCCTCCAAATATGACTGCTCAAGTTAATGTAGTTTTCGAGGTATGACGTTTTTGTGATTTTTTCAGAAAGTTAAAGATAAAAAAAATTCCCAATTCTGTAGTGGGGGTTGTCAGAGTATTCTCAGGTTTTCAGGGGTTGCGAATCTTGCCTTCAAATTTGAGTGCTAAAATCCTGACAATTTTCCAGATATGACGTTTTTTGTGATTTTTCCAAAAGATTTTCCGAAAACTTAACTTAAAACTCAATTTGAAATTCCTAGCTGTACTTGGGGGCTGTCAGAGTAATCTCAGGAGTTAGGAATTTGGCCTCCATTTAAGAATGCCCAAATCTTTTTAGTTGACGTGATACGACGCTTTTTTTTCTGGAACTTTTCAGAAAACTCAAATTACGAAATAATTCACAAAATAGAAATTCCCAACCCTGTATTTGTGTGCTGCCAGAGTGGTGTTAACGATTGCGAATAATGTCTTCAATCTTCGTAGTTTCGAGATGTGGCTTTTTTGGTTATCAAAAAAAAATATCTTTTTTTAGAAAACTTAAGTTTGAAGTTTCTCAAAATTTGAATTTCCCAACGTCGTTGGGTACTGTAAGAGTACTCTCAGGAGTTGCAAAGCTTGCGTCCAAATGCGACTGCTCAATTACTCTAAGTTTCCGAGATGTGACGTTTCTTAGTTTTATTTAAAAATTTTCAACGAGGTTATATACAACTTCACAAAATTTTATGATTTTTCAAAATGTGTATTAAAAAAACTTCGCAAAATTTGTAATTACGAACCCTTTAATCGGGTGCTGTCAGAGTACATTCAAAAGATGCAGATCTTTTTTCCAATATATGCGGTTTTTATGAGTTGTTAAAAATTCGAAGCACCGGAGGCAAATCGAAAAAGAATCAAAAACTTTGTCTTCTTTCGGTTAATCTGCTTTTAATTATTTACTCTTATTCATCTTCTTTTACATCTCAGAAATCTCGATTTTTGACTTCAGAATATGTATTTTACAATATACTCGTCACATCTTCCGGAAGAAATCTGATCGTAGCCCAGACAAATCATCGCAACAAAGAAAAGGAATCGCGAAAAATGATCGTAAAACAACCACCCTCCACGAAATGTTTCAAACAACATATCCCCGCATTAATTTGATACCTGTTTGATGCTGGGCTATAATGGAAAAGAAACAAGTTTGTCGATATTGTTCAAATGTTTTAAGTTGCTTCCAATTTTTTTGATATATTTTTATTCCGCGTCCTGCAAAGATTTTTAATTTTAAAACGTTTTCTGGTTTCGTACTTCAGCCCTCAGGTGCTGGGAAAACGAAACTAGTGAATGATTCAATTGCTTTGACTCAAAATTCCGCAGCAGTGATTCGGGCACATGGAAATGATCTTGTTCCATCGAACTGTGTTAGAAATGGTTGTAACCCTGAAAGGTACAAGACTTCATCTGGTATGAAAAACTATACTAAAACATCTAAATACTCATTTATATTAAATTTTTTCTGGTGGGATGATTTGAAACTACGAAGAAGTTGAGGTGAGATTTTTGCTCGGAACCACAACAAACAATTAATTTGTCTAAAAATTTGAAATAATTAAATATAGTGCATTTTGGTCATCTCCTCTGAAATGATCTTAATTAAACTCAAATGGCTGCTCAAAAACTTCATAAAGTTTGAAAAGAATAGTATACCTGTGGCATTTGATTATCTATGTTCTAGTGCTGTCGTGGATATCTTTAACGAAGTCAAGAAAACTCTTCCGAAACCTGTGATTCTGTTCATTGACGATTTTGAGTGTCTTTTAAACGAAAGCGAAAAAATCTCGCCAGAGGCATGTAGAAGAATAACCACAGAGCTGCTGGTACAAATCGACGATTGTGACAAACAACCAGGTAATATCTAGTTTTTAACTTGAATGTTAGTGTGATTGTCGGATATTATTTTACCGTTTCATTCGAAATGGAGGATGACGTTGGATCTATTTTACGGTAGCTATCCATTGCAGCATTCATTTTCAAACTGAATATCGAAAGAAATTGTATTGAGCTTCCTTTTGAGCTTCAGATGCTATAAAAATCAACAACCCATTCTCAATTGCTAACTAAATCTCAATTCTTCCGAAGCCGGGTAAAGTCGGATTTCAGATCGGAACCAGTACAGCAAAACTTTAAATATAGTTTTGTTCAGAACCATGCTTGTCAATTTCATAGATAGACAGACCCCTAAGATATGGACCCCTAAACAGGTTCGTGGTATTAATATCAGTTTTTGATTTTAAAAAATTTTTGCAGTATTTTCTCTGTAGAAACAAAAGTGATTCTGGCCTGATAATTTTCCGGGCTCCAGCAATTCAGGGCCTACCCCTATAAAATTTGCGATACAATGCAACGCTTGTCTCATAATCGAAAAAAAGTTTTTTTTTCTAGTAAACCATTTTTTTTACAGTCAGGTGTAAGTTTCATTCATATTTCAATGACATAGAGATCGGTTTAAGATTATAATGGCTACGTTTGCCAGCGTAAATACCAACTCAATTCAGGAAGCAGTTCATTTCTGTTTTCAACAATTTTTCATTTACAAAAGGGAAGTTTCCAGAGGTTTCAAAAGGGGCAACGTTCACCGATTTGCAAAGAGGGGAGTTGAACAGATGAAAATAATTGTAGGCTGATTTCTTTGTTAAATTGCTGTAGTAAATTTTTTGAAAAAGTAATTCTTTGGCGTCTTTGCAACTTCTGAACCTATTCAATATTTGATCTGAAGAACTGTTTGGATTTGTCAAAAATATAATGACGATCAATGCCTTGGTCGAATGAACAGAAAAACTCCAGCTCGGAAAAAATGATATGACGTGTAGCATGTTCTTGGATCTTAAAAAGGAATTTGATCAACTAGATCATTTGAAAAAGGAATAAGAGGTTTATACAATAATTGGTTTTGGAGCTATTTATGAAATCGGAAATGTGTTTTTTTACTAATTGCGTCAATTCAGGAAGCAGTTCATTTCTGTTTTCAACAATTTTTCATTTACAAAAGGGAAGTTTCCAGAGGTTCTCAAAAGGGGCAACGTTCACCGATTTGCAAAGAGGGGAGTTGAACAGATGAAAATAATTGTAGGCTGATTTCTTTGTTAAATTGCTGTAGTAAATTTTTTGAAAAAGTAATTCTTTGGCGTCTTTGCAACTTCTGAACCTATTCAATATTTGATCTGAAGAACTGTTTGGATTTGTCAAAAATATAATGACGATCAATGCCTTGGTCGAATGAACAGAAAAACTCCAGCTCGAAAAAAATGATATGACGTGTAGCATGCTCATGGATCTGAAAAAGGAATTTGATCAACTAGATCATTTGAAAAAGGAATAAGAGGTTTATACAATAATTGGTTTTGGAGCTATTTATGAAATCGGAAATATGTTTTTTTTTACTAATTGCGTGTGCTCATATCGGTTGAATATATCACTTGTATTCCCTACCGGATCTGTAATTGGTCCACTACTGTTTCTGGTATCTATAAATGATATGCCCAATTGCGTGAAAGACTCAAAATTTACCTTTTTGCAGATAACACTGATTTCGCATGCAAGGTTAAGTCCCTCGAGGTTTTTACCAGAGATAATAGTATATGCACATAATGTAACACATAAACGATTTTACAGATATCTCGATGTTTTTGTTCATTTCTAAACTGTCTTTTTGTACCCAAGTTGAAAAAAATAAAGCTTTATTTGTACATTGTGGAGATATTGCGCAAATGAGAAAAAATGTGCCAGTTGAAGTGCTCATTGAATTCATTTTATGATTTCAAAAGCATCGTACAAAATGGTTTATTGGTATATAGAGGAACAAGTTTCACAAATGTCGAACCTATTTTTCTTGTGCAGAGGAAAATAATCAGGATGATATTTAACGAGAGAAACTACAACTAGTAGGAAACTCTTTAGTTATCACAAATTTAACAGTTCATGATTTATATGTATAAGCTCTTCTCAAATTTAGTTTGAAGTCTATTATTTTTTAGTATTAAAAAAGGTTGAATAGTTTTGGGCTTCGATTAAGGGATGTTATTTTACTCGAAAACACAGATTTTGTTTGATTTAGTTTTTGCGTCATGGTGTAAATATGAATAGGTTCTGCCGTGGGGTGTAGTTGCTACAACTGCTTTTTCGCAGAGGATCAAGCGTTGTCTTCGGACAACATAGTTTTATACTATTCAAGCCTGATTTCGGGAATACAGCGTTTACTTCCTTTTGCACCAATAGAACAGTCACATTTCGGTAATTTGAAAAATTGTCTAAAAAGGGGACGTTATGTTGCCCATGTTTCCAGCGAATTTTCAGGGCCACATTTTCCAATGGATCTCAACTATCTTTTGTGTTTCTGATGTTGAGTGAAGAAAATCATTTTTTTTTTGTTATTGTTTCCGGCTGAAAACGTTCAGATTGTTTTGATCGACTTGCTTGTTTGTTTTTGTTTTGATCTTAAAAGCTTGCTCATCACCACTCTTGCTCTTCTTTAAGGAGCGCAGCTACGTATCTGTGTTTCAATATAAAATCACGCTGGCAATTGTCTTTTTTATCATATTTTTCTTCTGAGACTTCGATAAAAATTTCGGGAATGTTCCTAGAAAGAAAAATTTTGTATTCTATCGGCATCCGTTTTTTTTAGTTGCCTAAATTATTCAGGCAACAGTTTTAGTTTCTAGACGATTATCGCATCCTTGTGAGTTTAACGAAAGTAGTGTGATTTTTACAGTAACATAATTTAATCCCAGTTTTAATTTGAATGAGTGAGCATTTAACTTTTTTCAACGTCAATGCAATATTGATATAAAATGGCTGGGACAGGTTATTTATTATTCGAAAAAAAACTTCGTTAAATGTCTTAGATTTTTGAGAAAATGACGCGATTAGAAGCACTTAAGGTATGAACGTAAATATACTTTGAAAATTTTCAAAAACTAGTTTAAAGTCACCTCTATTGGTTTTAATCTACTTTAACTTACCTTTTAATTAAAATATACGTAATAAAAATAATTAAAAAGTAAGAAAACTTTTATGCTAATTTAATATTCATCTGACCAGTTTTTAAGAGAAAAATTAATTTAATTCTACCTGACTTTTTTCAACGTAATCGGCTCAAGATAACTTTACAGTTATATTTTGTGTACCCTGTGTAATGATTGAAATTGAATTATCTAGCCGTTTTGAATACCTTCGAATGATTTTCAAACTAAGTATTTCTACACTTGAACAAACTAATGGTGAAGAAAAATTAAAATCTTACTGTTTTTAAGTGTCTTTTTTTGTCTATGTATAAATATTGTAAAGTTTTGTCTCCCGAAAGCTTCCTCTTGTTTTTGAAACTTCTGCTCCTTTCTTTAGTTTTAGATTGTGTCGTTTGTTGTTATCGGGGCACAATATATCAATTGGAGAGCCATAAAAAGGCATGTTCTTAACCAAAAGGATGAGTTTGTGTATAAATCCTAAATTCTGCCCAAGTTTCGAACTAGTTACTTACCTGTTATTGTTTTTAGTGCTTACTGGGCCATGAAAAAACTTAGTTCGTTAGTTTTTGTCATTTTTTCTCGGTGGCCAACGAAAACCAAACTCATGCCTAAATTTCAATTTCTGTCATCTTTGAAATCTGATTTTTTTTCTACATCAAATCGCACCTTGAAATCACTTTTTTGACTCTCTGCTTCTAGTTAGAGTTAGTTTGTGTAGATGTAGTTTTCTTTAGATACAGAAAGTTGTCTTTTGGTTTAGATACAGAGGGGTTAGACGATTTTTTTTATTTAGGTGTGTCTGTGATCGTCGCGGCTACTAGTAAACCATGGGATATCTGCTGTCCGGTTCGGAAGAGGTTCGATAGACTGGTTTATGTCACGTTGCCAGACCAACAAACTCGATTTGCCATTATAAAACATGAGTTCACGAATTTTCAACACAACTTGACAGATGAGTTCTTTGAGTATTTGGCAAGTGTGACTGAAAGGTGTGTATTATTTGATGTTGGATGTCATAGTCGGAGCGTTTTTTTTTAAATGGAAATGTCAAATTGCATTTTTATTGAACCGTTACAAATTGTGTCGCTTTCCCACTTAGTTTGGAGGAAAAGCGGTTGCTTTTGCAGCCTTAGGTATCTGGTTGGAGTATCGGTCAGGCCTGGATTTTTTTCGGTGTACATCTGGGAAAATTGGATTGTCGGACTATCGTTTGTCGACTAAGTTGTCACATCGCAGATTTTTTTGAGCTGTAGGCAATTTTCATGGCAGTGGCAAGCAATTTCGATTTATTCCTGTACTACTCTTGACTATTTCTTTTTTTTTGTTTTGTTCCGCTCAAAGCAATATTCAGCCCTAATAATTTTGGCTAATGTTTTATCGGCGCATTTGAATTGTTTTGTGTAGTTTCAAGGGCAAAAACTGATTTAAAACTATTCAGTTAATGTTTTTGGCTCAATAGTGTCTACCTTCCTATTGTCAGCTTAGTGGCTGCTCGGTAAATAAAAAAATAAAAGCTCACTTAATTTGGTTTCTCGACTGTTTTTCTGAACTCCATTTTTTTTGCCGTAGTGATTTCCCACGCGTGTTTTCGTTACTGGCTTGAATTGCTACGCTTATGTTGTACGTTGTATTGTCGGCGATGCGAAGCTCCGGTACGTCTCTGTGTGATCAATAGTGGGCAGTTTTATTTGCTCAAAAACTATCCTTTAAGGTTATTTATCTTTTTTTTAAAACGGTTCGTACGTTTCTAAATTGGTTTTAAATGAAATCGCACGTAGATATTAGCAGTATTAGGAAAATTATTTTTGTTGAGATTCGTTGATCATAAAACTTATAACCCAAAATTCGGCTTTATAGAGGGTAGCAAAAATTGGAACCGACAAAATTAAGACGGAAGAGCAAATGACCAATTTTTAAATGCAAAAGCTCCTATTTCAGACAAAAAATGGCTGATCGTAACCTATATTCAAATTTGGATGCCAAAATTGCTCAAAATTGACAAATTGCTGTTTTTAATTAAAACTGTATGTTTCAACTAGTTGCCACTACTGTGCTAATTTAAAATTATCCGGACAAAAAGGAAAAACATTGAAACGCGTTTTCCCCAAATTCGGTTGATTTTGGACTAAAAACGATGAAGACAAAAATTGGTTGAAGTTATAGCAAAATAACAGAGAGCAATTCGGGTCCAAAAACAATTTTTGTTTGTCAATCAAACATCACGCCTAAACCACCGGTTGAATTGCTGACAAAAATATATCAAAGTGAGCCTCTTATGTAGCCCAACAAAGTTTAAGCCGAGTCTCCGCAAGTTGGAGCGAATGGTTATAAAGTTGTTTTTAATTGGTAGTTTTTTTTACACATGCGAAGCGAGTGTATTAGTACGAACCTTCTTTTTTTCAACCGAAATCGCAAATATTGATGCCATTCTAAAGCACCTTTAAAGATTTTTGATAGCATGGTCCTAGACATTCGAATAGCAGTTAATGCATATTTAATTCATCGAATCAACCGAATGAAAGCTCAATAATGAAAGCTCGATTTCAAAAATTTTCTAACTCAATATATCTCGCAATTTTTTGAAATGCATATTTTATACATAATTTGGTTTTATGCTATGCGATTTGTTACATGCAACGAAAGTGTGGATGACTTCAGTTTGTTTGAATTCCAAATTATTAATTGCAAAATCGAGTCTATTTGTATTTGGTGCCACTTTTGCTGAATTGCATTGGCAGTTTGTTAGCATATGTAGCTGCTTTATTCGTGACTAGTTTTTGTCGGTTGTTATGCTTGCGTGGCTGAGTGGATAGTGCGTGAGATTGAAAATCTCTTGATTGCAAGTGCAGTAGGTTGCAGATTCGAATCTTACACATAGCCGATTTTTTGCTAATATGAGGCTTATTTCCACTTTTTTATTGCACTTGATAGAGATGCTGTTTGGCCGTGATCTGGCAAGTGTTTGCGAACCGCAGCTTCGACTCTGTGTTTATCCTAATGAGAGATCCAATGCTTGGAAAAAAATTAAAATTATTTAATTTGTTGACAATTATAATTAATCGAGCTCAAAGCACAATAAAACCAATGTTTAGGTTCTCCTGTAGTGATTTGGTGATGTTGGCCCGTGATGCTTGTTGGAATTCAGTTCGCAAACTGCAAAATTCGTCCCAAGTTCAGAATTTAATGAAGCAAGATGAAAAGATGCAGATGAACCTAAAAAACACGACTGGAAACCCTAGTCATAACCAAGAGGGCCGGAAAGATAGTTTGTATCAGATGTTAAACGAGCAGTCTGTTCTTAAGGTATGTTGTCACTTAGTGATTTTTGAACGTGGTTATGCCCAAAATTAGCGTTAACCATGACTTCTATACAATATAGTAAACAAAGCTAATCTTCGTAAGTTTCACCTTTTTCAGGAGTCTTTTAGGAGTTTTTGTCCCTTTTTTATAACGCTAGCAAGCAGCTAGTGTTTTAGTAAGAATCTTCTTTTTTTCTAACATAACTCGAATATAAAAGTGTTCATTTAAATAGTTTACTTGTGTGCCTTTGCTATAATCACGATCTGTGGCATTGGAAGTTTCATAGCATCTGTTCTCGGCTTTGTTTTGTGGCTAGTGTTGGTGATGGACTAAGCGTCCGTGGCTGAGTTGTTAGTGCGCGAGACTCAAAATTTCTAGGTCATGGGTTCGAATCCGAGGTGTGGCCGAATTTTTACTAATTCAAGACTTATTTTTACTTATTGCACTGTTTAGAACTCTAGAGCTTTTCTCGTGTTCTCGCTAGTGTTTGCGAAGCGCAGCGAAGTCTAGCTTATTTGAACATAACAAATTTTATGGCTTATTTTGCTGCTTTTTTTGGCTAGTGTTAGTTTACATTTGGAAAAAAACATGTATTTTGAAAACGTATGGGATTTGTTGTTCGTGTTTTTTTTGCGACGCTTTCGAATTTTTTTTTCACTTTTATCAGAAATTTCATTTTTTCACAGAAACTACTACCGATTTTCAAAAAAATGGTACCAATGAAAAATCCGGCTGCTCTTTTATGTGCCTGAATAGTTAGCTAATCTTTTTTTTCTCGTTCTACAGCCTTCGAAAGTTTCAGCAGGGGGATTTTTGGCCTATTTGTTTTGAATTTTTTTGATTTTGTCAAGTTTTAAAAGCACAAATCTGAGATGAAGGTTTCAATCAAAATAACAATTTATGACAATTTCCCCTTCTAAAGCGGCTATTCCCTAAATTCGATAGAAAAAAAGATATGGCCTCAAAAACTTCACTGCCAAATCTGAGATTTAGGTCTTAACCGGAAGGAAAAAAATTGGTTATACGAATCTTTTCTGAGCAAACTTCTATGCCCTGCTTTTTCAAAAAATATGGCCTTAGAAAATCTCTGAGGTTGATAGTTCCTTAAAACTAACATTGTGCTTAGATTTTTCCTGCGTTTTCTCTTTCACTCTATTTTTTTGTAGAAAAGTTGATATGGACAACGGAAAAATCCCTTTTGAAATTTTAACCATTTAAAAAAATTCGTCCTTATTTTCGAAAAGTGCTAGCTAAATCTGATAATAAGGGATCAATCTTTAAAAAATGAGGGTGTTGAAGTCTTCATTTTGAAATCATGGTGTGGAAAGCAGAATCTATTCCTATGCTTAAGAAGAGAAAACTGTATGGATTTAGGAAAGTCAAATTTTTGATCGATTTTTGGAATCTTTTTCATTTTTTTTTCAAACTACCCAGCCAAATCCGAGATAGAGACCTCATTTGAAAGGGCAAGTAGTAGTTTTTTCCTTTAAATAAGTAAATAAATAATTTATTACTTGCAAAATTGGTGTTTTTACACTTGCGAGAGCAATTGTCTTGTAGTCAGGAGGTTGTCTTTTTCACGTTAACAACTTTTCTTCGATTCTTATTTGCTTTTCCTACTTGCATTTTTATTGAACCTTAACAATTTTCAGTAACGTGGCCGCTTTCGCACCCTAAATTAACCTTACCTGCGCAAACGTCTATGCCCTGCGTTTTGAAAAAATATGGCCTTAGAAAATCTCCAATTTTGGAAATTTTGCCCGGGGTCAAGTTCCGGCCGGGCCTCGTTTTTTGAACATTATGCATGAAATTGAATTTTTGAATGACTTATTAATGAAATTTTATTATGGTTGCAAGTGTTGTTCCTTGTAGTTTTATCGGGGGGGAGAGAAGAGACTTAAAACTTTTGTGCAAAATCAATTTTTTTCTGGTCAACTAATGTCTGATCAAATTTTGTTCAGTTGCCAATTTAGTATTTAATTGTTTTCGCTGGTGTGTTTGCCTAAAATGAATTATTACCGAGACACGAAAATTTTTGTAGACTTGGTTTTTTATCTTTTCATTTTTTCGACGTCTTATTTTTTTATGGTTTGTGTTGTATCGAAAGTGATGCGAAACGCCGCTTCGCCTCTGTGTGTGAATTTTGAAGCTCCCTTTTGCAGCTTTCTTGCTTGGAGCTTATTTTTAACCGTCAGTGGCACCATTGTGTGGGGCAGTAAGCTGGAAAACATGTCGTTCCGAAGATTGAAGTTCAATTCCTGTAGACGTCATTTATTTTTCAGATGTAATTAGATTTTTTTATACTTTTTTGACCTTTAAAAAGATAATTTTTGCCGTATTTTCTTGTGTTTGCGATGTTCAGCTTCGCCTCTGTCTATAATTTACATTGACTTTGCTCAGTTTTTTTGAAACCAGGCACGCATAGTCATTACACAAGTAAAGCTTGTGTGATAGTATGGACTCTTTTTTTTTTCAACCTAAGTCGCAAATATTAGTTTTCGTGTTGAAAGTTTTCATTTTGATCAATAACCAACAATTAACTACAGCCAATGCTAAAGATATTATATTACAAATAGCATTTTAGCTTCAAAGTATCATGGATCTGTTGCGTAGAGGTAGGGAAGGAGACCCGCAACTAAATAACAGGGTTCGAACATGGGCAGGTTCGGATGTTTTTAATGAACTTTTTCGTGAACTAGCCGCTCTATTAATTGAGGCATGTTAGTTAGTAATTTTGTTTTTGAAATTGACTGCTAATGCGTAATGATAGGCTTGCTTCACTTAGCAATTATGTAGACTCATAATTGGTGTGCGTCTCTTGAGAAATTATGTAGACTCAAAGTTTTACTCGTCCAGTTTTTCTCAGTAGCGTTATCGGTCATAATTTTGCTTGTGTATGCGAAGCGCAACTTCGACTCTGTGTTGGATAAATAAAAGTACATTTGATCACTCTACGGAACCTTCTAAAATCATTTGTTCTCGAAAAAAAAGTTCGTTAAAAAGCAATTTCGGGGCATCTAGGTGTAAATATAAGTGATTTTTTTTATAAAACCCTGAGTTTTTTTCGAGATGAATTTTTTCCGAGGTAATAAATTTGGTTTGAGGGAAAGATAGCAGCTAAAGATGCCCTTTTTATTTATTACTAAAGAAAAATTAATTTTTCCCAAGTTACTGCTGCGGATTTTCAACGCTATGAAAAAATTAGCTCAGAATTTATGAAAAATGTAAAACAAACATCAAATTTGAAAATTTGGAGTGGAAAAGGGCACGATGAGTATGATTTGGAAGTTTAACCGGTTTTCTTGTGTCAGTTTTTCTGTGTTGGTTTTTAAAGAGTTGCGACTTATATAGGCCGTGCTGATTTTTTCTCTTAGTCTGAAAATTTCTTTCAATTTCATATTCAACTGATTTTTCGCTTTTTGACATTTGGTTTATTTTTAATTTCAATCAAAATGATCGCTAACAGAAAGGCAAATTACGCTCACTTAACTTGTTTTTTTTTTAATGAAAGAAAGTGTCTATCATTGAAGATTCTTAAACGTCTTTGAGCCGAAGTCAAATTTAAAATAAGTTTGCTCAAGCGAGCGTAGCTTAACAATACGAATGTATTTTTTTCCTATCCATTTCGCTAGTAAGTTGTCATTTGGTGGCACTGTTTCTGCTTAGCTTCGGGAATTTAAGAACGGTCTTATCTGCTTTCTTAGTGCAAGTGTTTGTTTTGTCAAGCGACCATGGCGCAGATGCGCCGACGTGCGTTAGACTCAAAAGCCCCAGTTCAAAGTTCGAATCCGGTTCAAAGCAAGGCTAGCCTTTTTCTTATTACTTATTATGTACTTATTACCCTTGCGACTTTGTTGACAGGACTTTTCATCTGGACTCATTTCCTTGAAGCCTCTTACCAACCAATTTACCACTACAGAAATACCTTGTGCTTGTTGCTTGTTAGGATTTCAAATATCTGCTCTGTTCGAATTTTTCTATGTCGTTTGTAATTTACCAACTCGATTTGTTAAAACTTCATATATTTTTTTCGTTTTTATATTCTTTCCTTTTTTCGGCTTGATAGGTTGCGGCTTATAATATATCGGCTTAGTGACCATATATTGCCTCTCTTGATTAGCGAATTTTTTTGTGTTTGTGTGTGTGTGTGTGATCGCTAACAAAATGATCGCTAACAGAAAGGCAAATTACGCTCACTTAACTTGTTTTTGTTTTTTTGTGTGGAAGTTTAACCGGTTTTCTTGTGTCAGTTTTTCTGTGTTGGTTTTTAAAGAGTTGCGACTTATATAGGCCGTGCTGATTTTTTCTCTTAGTCTGAAAAATTCTTTTAATTTCATATTCAACTGATTTTTCGCTTTTCGACATTTGGTTTATTTTTAATTTCAATCAAAATGATCGCTAACAGAAAGGCAAATTACGCTCACTTAACTTGCTTTTTTTTTAATGAAAGAAAGTGTCTATCATTGAAGATTCTTAAACGTCTTTGAGCCGAAGTCAAATTTAAAATAAGTTTGCTCAAGCGAGCGTAGCTTAACAATACGAATGTATTTTTTTCCTATCCATTTCGCTAGTAAGTTGTCATTTGGTGGCACTGTTTCTGCTTAGCTTCGGGAATTTAAGAACGGTCTTATCTGCTTTCTTAGTGCAAATGTTTGTTTTGTCAAGCGACCATGGCGCAGATGCGCCGACGTGCGTTAGACTCAAAAGCCCCAGTTCAAAGTTCGAATGCGGTTCAAAGCAAGGCTAGCCTTTTTCTTATTACTTATTATGTACTTATTACCCTTGCGACTTTGTTGACAGGACTTTTCATCTGGACTCATTTCCTTGAAGCCTCTTACCAACCAATTTACCACTACAGAAATACCTTGTGCTTGTTGCTTGTTAGGATTTCAAATATCTGCTCTGTTCGAATTTTTCTGTCGTTTGTAATTTACCAACTCGATTTGTTAAAACTTCATATATTTTTTTCGTTTTTATATTCTTTCCTTTTTTCGGCTTGATAGGTTGCGGCTTATAATATATCGGCTTAGTGACCATATATTGCCTCTTTTGATTAGCGAATTTTTTTGTGTTTGTGTGTGTGTGTGTGTGTGTGTTTTGAGGGTGAGGGGGACTTAAAGCTTCTTTAAAGTCTTCAAATTTGTATTTTTTCTCTTTTAATTACTGCTTACTCAGTTTCGGCCTATCATATCTCAGCTAAGTGTACTCATGTGGCGTCGTTCGACGAGCAAAAAATTTTGTGCGTGCGTGTGTTTCAGGGCGGGGATTTAATAAATTGAAAGTTTTCGTAAATGTAAAATTTTTGAGGTTTTGCCCTCTTTAAAATAATTTTTTATTAGTCTCAAATTTTTTCGATTTTTTTAGGCTTTTTGTTTTTTTCTGCCTAATAGGTTTCTTCCTATTTGTTATCGGCTTGGCGGCCTCAGGGCTCAGATTGTTTTCTTTAACTGGGCAATTAAATGCGTGTGTGTGTTGAAGGTGAGGGGGACTTAATACATTTTTATACGTCTTGTTAATTTTTTTTCATCTTAAGGGGTTTCTGCTTTGTTACCGCGTAGTAAATTGTCTTTTGCTGCGTTTTCTTCATTGTATTGTCTGGGCTATTCATTTTCATAGATCTAGTTTTTTTTACTTTTTTTGTGTTTCAAGCGGCTTTTTTATATTGTTTCGCAAGTTGTGCGAAGCTCAGCTTCGCCTCTGTGTTCCACTTTTAAACCCTTTTTGAGCTAATCTTTACCAATTTTACCCATTTGTGTTAAAGTTGCAGCTTCGGCTATGTGTTTGAATTGTTGTGTAGATCTCTTAGAGCTAAATGACTTCCTATCAATTGTCTGCCAGCTGTTTATTCCAAATTTATCGGACTAAAAAAATGGACAAATCGAAATTAGCCTTAGCTTTAACCAAATTTTTAGTATTCCGTAAGGTCTTACAGACTTAAAAGCTCCAAGTGGTATACAATGGGGAGTGATTAAGATTTCGCGGGCAGTTAACGCTATGAATGTTATTTTGTTTAAAAAAGTTACACTAGTGGACAAAAATAAACGCAAATTCAGGTTTTTACTCTCTAAAAAGCCTAACTTAAAGGACTATTTTGGACAACATTTACTTCGAATTTTAACAAAATTTGTACATCAACCGAAAGCAAATGATCTGAAATACCCTCCATGAAAGTCTCAATTTTTAATTTGAAGCGCTAACCAGTTTTTTTCTGGGTCTGAAAATGCCAGTTTTCATCATCCGCGTGAAATTGTAAGAAACAGCTGAGTCTAGGAAAGTTGTCATACTGAATATTCCAGTTTTCTCGCTGACTTTGTTTCTCGTCGCATGAACAACTTTTTTACTCCGTTTATTCGAGAAATAGTTCACTACGATGCAAAACTTAGAGCAGACGGTGAAAGCTGGCATTTTCAGATCCAAAAAACTGGTGACTGCTTCAATTTAAAAATTGAGACTTTCAAGGAAGGTATTTCAGATCATTTGCTTTCGATTGATGTAAGAATTTTGTTAAAGTTCGAAGTAAGTATTGTCCAAAATGGACCTTTCAGTTAGCCTTTTTAGAGAGTAAAAGCTTGAATTTGCGTTTAATTATGTCCACTAGTGTAAGTTCTTTTTTAAAGAGTCGTTTTTTTTTCAGGAAGTGTTAGTTTGTTTAGACTTAAATTTGCTTTTTTCGCGGTTTGACTTTTGATTTTTTTTCAATGTCACATCTATTTTGTTGAAACGAAGGCAAACTCCACTATAGAGCTACAAAATGTTTCGGAAATTGTGATCTACTTCTAGTTTCGAAAGTGAGTTATCGATTTTATCAGCGAAGTAAAATTTTTACTTATTGATCCAGTTTTCTCAGCAAACAACATTGCTCTAGATTTTCAAAGAGCTCTAAGGCCATCTATTTTTTTCCCACAAAATTCGAAAGTTGAGGTTCTTTCAAAAATAATGAAGTCAGTATTTTTTTAATTGCGTCCAGTGACTCTTTTCCAACTGTCTGATGGCTTTGTTTTCGAAAATTAATGAGAAAACACTTCATTAGCAATCTCATCTAAAATAAATTGTTTTCTAAATGATAACTCTTGTGAAATAGTTTTTGGATCGCTCCCATTAGAGACCGCTGGCAGCATTGCAGCAAAAGGTTTATAGCTTCATCAAAGTAGTTATGTTACGCTATGAGGGGAGGGGGCTCTAGTTTGCTGTAGCGGGCTTATAACATGGAAGAGCTTTGTGTACGACACAGTTACCCGATGTCGTTTCAGTGTGACGTTGACGATGCATTGCTGAATATGAAGAAATCCGTAGATGATGAGGAAATTGCCAAGTTTGAAAGCTTCAATGAAAACTATGGACAAGATTGAATTTCATTGTGTGTTCTAATTGGTAGCTTAGACTTCTCGAGTTAATTTATATGGAATTTAGATAAATTTTGAATATTGTTGTTGCATGTGTAGAAATAAATGTTTACTTCCAAACATCTAGTGTCTGAAAATCGTCTCAGATACTTTACAGTGAAAGACTTCTAAGTTCTAGCAACACGGAGCTGATCAGCGGGGAGTTGACCATTTTTGGAGTAAAACCGCTTGGGATCTCATTTCCGTGCACGTTATTTTAGTTCCGACCATTGAAAATATGGAGGAGCTTTGTATTCGAGTTTCTTAGTTTTTCTTTTTGTTTTCCACGCTAAATCAGGTACCACAAATAGTCATCGGACTGGGTTGAGTGATATATCATATGAAAGCCCTTTCAGTCGTTCCCGTCCAGTGTCGAGAAAACAGGTTTTAATTTTTCGATTTTTCGTCTAAATTCGAGAAAGTAAAGCAAATTTATGCCTAATTTAGGCCGTTTACAAAAGATTAATTGTGCTTAAATTTAAGTTTACCCAACTAAATCTAAAAACAGTAATGAGTAAAAATGTAATGCCAGTTTGGGACTCAAACGCTTCAAATTTAAAAACATAATTTATATTTTTTGTTTTTCTAGTAGTTTTTTCTTCAAAAATTTACGCACTGTTTGCCTAAATTACTAAATGATTGCCGTATGATTGCCGTATATGCCTAAGTTAGAGATTTACTTCAGATTCTTTTATCATACAATGCAGAAGCAACTAATTTGAAATAAAAATTTTTTCATGATGGTTTTAATGACAGGTCATAACATTATGTGCTACTTGCACAGTAACCGGCTATCCTTGTTTCACTTGGTTTCTGTTTTGTCGTGTTCAAAACTAGTCAGCTCAAGGCCTATTTTTTCTGACTTGGATAACTTGAACATTTTGAATCGATTAAAACAATCCTTGCTTCATATTTTCGTGTTCTTTTTTCGAAGGATTTTTTTGATTAAATAATGCTGGACAAACCAACGTTTACTCTGTTCAGGTTTTTAAAGAATAATCAAATCAGAATTGGTTGTAGAAAAGACAAGCGCAAAACTATAGCACTGATACTCGGTGATATACTTTAATAGGTGGTAGATTAAATTCCAATAGCTGGATTGCTTTTTGCTATACTTCTTACATTATTTATAATTTATTTCAAAAGCCAAATTTTTTGTCGAAAGAAGTGAAAAATTTGAATGTTTGAATAGAATTTCATTTGGCAGAGTAATGTATTTACAAAAAAATCTTAGTAGTAGTACAACTGAGTGAAAATGAAATGACTATGTTAGGCATTATAATTCTCAAACTTAATACATGCGCTATACTCAAAATTACCAACTAATGTAACATATCACCCTGATACTCATCTTTCTGAGTTTAAATGAATTGTTTGGTCACTGTTGACTCAAAATAGACCGCTTAGCTACAATTTCTATAACTGAACTAAAACTTCCTGCTAAAAACATGCCAATGAAATGCAAAATCTACGATAAAAAATGACTCAGTAGAAGTATATAAATCAAACCTTTGTAAAAATAATTGTGACACTTTTACAGGCAAAATGAGCTTGATTCAATCTACAACATTTTCACCAACAACATTGTACTAACTATTGAAAAAGATACTCCGCTAAAATCAATCTTTATCCGTCACGGCAAACGAAGTGTAATTTTCCAGGATGAACAATTCATTTCGCAGTTTCTTAACTCAAAAATTGAGCGTGAAAAATGGAATATTACCAAGGATACTACAATTTCAAAAAAACCAGCAAATCAAATTTCACTTTTAGAAAATTCCTTCAGTGAATTACTTTCAATCAGTTTCAAAATGGCAAATCAGTTTAATTTAAAAAAATTCACCTTCAGGCTGCTTCCATAATTACGTTACGACAACCAAAACCCTCTTTCCTCAAAAAAGAATTTAGCTTAAATAACAAAAAAGAGCTTTAATTCAGGTGTTATTAGAGTGCAAAATAGAACGCTTAAAACTCAATTTTAAAAAGCCACCGGGGCCCTCTGACATCCCCGCATGGGCACTAAAAGATGGTTGCAATAAAATTTACCCACTTTTTACTTTCCTTTTTATTGAAAAGATAAGAATATTATCTTTCCCGATAAGCGTAGAAAAGCCATTGTCACACCAATGTACAAAAAAGACAATCCAGAATTAACAGAAAACTACAGGACATTCTCAATAACAAGTGAATTATCAAAAGTAATCAAAATTTTTTTTATAAAAACAAATTAACGAACATCTTTTATCACAAAACCTGCTAAACAACATCAATTTGGTTTTAGAGCCTCCTATTCGACAAAAGATGCAATCTTATTCAGCGCCAATTTTGTTTAGAAAATCAATTGATTGCAACAAGTTTGTTCCTTACTCATTATTAGATCTTTCCTAACCATTCGACTCTTTTGATCATAAGTTTCTAGAACAAAAACATAAATCTCTGAACTTTCTTGAAAACGCAATAGAAATGATCATATTTTTTTTATCAGCAACCGACATCAGGAAACAATTGTCAACAACATTGGATCACATTGGATATCTTTGAACCAACTTGCCCCTCAGGGCACCGTTTTGGAACCCCTGACCTTTAATCTGTATACCAACGAATTAACCAAACAGTTACCTAATTTTCAGTCTGCTTTCAAGGATTTACTGTTGACAACAACATTTTAGTCATAATAAGCTCACGCAGACACAAATATTGAAGTTTTGAATCGGTCTTACAAGTTTTTGGAGATTGAAGTTTTTGAAGCGGTCATCGGGAAGAATTCCAAAAATTTCGGGTGTCAACGAAAAACACCAGCCCACGTCGACCAAAGTCAACAATACGGACAGTTGAAAAAGCCTGTGTCAGCTTTCGGCCAGCAGAACACTTTTGGCGAACTGGACAATCAGTCTACTTGCACTCTCTGACGAATTTCGGCCTTTTGCACTCTGCCAATCGCACAATTCAGCCAAATGGACACCAATTTCGGACAAACAGCCACTTTCAGCCAAACGCCCACTTTCGGCCAACCGACACTTTTGGCCACACGCCCTTTTTCGGCCAAACGCCCATTTTCGGCCAAACGCCCACTTTCGGTCAACACTTGCGCAACCACTGTTGTCAGCCCCTGATGGTGTTGGTTGAATTGTGTAATAGTGGAAGCGCTGCTGGAATAGAATTGCTGCTCGATTCCCGGGTCGCGGTACCAAAAATATGACCGCGCTTACCTCATAACCCTAAAATATCTCACAAAAGTTAACTAAACGATGAATTAATCAAAATGAAGTAATTCTGGAAACGGTATAAATCGCAGATTTTGTCGATATAACGGAAAAATATTTCAACAAAATCGGCACATTCATGGCTTAACGTGTTAACATAACATCATTTTTGTGATATAAGGTAAATCACTTACAGACGGCAATAACCTGTTAGACAAAGCTTTTGCTATGTTTTAATTTTTGTTGTAGTTGTATAAAATTTTTGGTTCGGGCAAAAACCTTGGTTTTTTGTGGGGCTTCAACTTACGCCCAACCGGTCTGGTCAGTTTTTTAAGCTTTGTTCTAGACAACTGTTCAACTGATCTTAACTTTGTTCAATTTATTTGGTTCTATATTCTCGCTTATTATAGGTTATTTGCGTGGCAACAAAAGTCGTTCTGCAACTTGTGAAAAAAAACTCAAGCTCTTTTATTGGTTATCTTTTTTCATTCATAAGGTTTTGGTTGGTACCGTATTAAAAAAACTATTTTTGCGCCGCTTACACTATGCACATGGTATGCTCTTGCTTGTTCCAAACGGAATGGGGCAAGTAACATTAGCTCAAACTGTTCTATGACAACATTTTATTATTGGCTCAATTGGCATTTTTTCTATTTTTTCTTTACCACTCGATCACCGATTTTGAATGGTTTTTTCAATTAAAAAATGTGAAGGTTTTGTAGAACTATGTAGATCAATTTTTTGAGCTCCGCTTTGCCTTTGTGAATAAACTTTTTTCGCATCTTCAATTTTCTAATCGTAGGAGAAGAGTAGTTTTCGCATCTGAAGCTCTCGTGATTTTTTGTTGGTTCTATTTTTTTTCGGTAAAAAATTCATCTATTACAAAAGAAATGTTTTCCTCATAACAAAGGATATTTGAATGCACTTGATCATATCTACAGTTTTGAGATCAATTCAATCGCATCTGCTGAAAATAAGGTGAATTGTGCTCTCGAATTACAAAAGCGGAAATGGAGCGAAAAAACGTCAACGGTTACTAAAAACTAAAATAAAGTTACGAAACTAGATTATTCAACCGTTCAATAGATTTACACAGTTTGATCCATTTCTCTTAGATGGTTCATTTTTTTCCTTTTTTTAATCATTTTTTTCTCTTTCTTTGTTCTTTCACACTTCTTTGTTCTTTCTTTTTTCTTTCAAGCGTTATGCGGCCAACTGCGTAAACTGATTGGTAAACGCAAAAAACGAGAATAATTATGACTATGTTATTCAAGCTTCATGTCAAAAAAATCAAAATCATTAATTTTTAAGAAAAGTTGTGCACAGGACAGTTTAATGTTTCGACAATTTTTGATCGAAAAATTTTCGCTTCTTAAGCAACGCTCAACAAGAAGACGAGGCCGAATGAACAGAAAAACTCTCCTTCAATTGATTTTCTGTCTTATGGAAATTTGGTTGGAGCTTGTCATCTCGCATGTTTTCTTCATCTTTTTCTAACTATTGACGTTGTTCCCTCTGCCAGGCGTGTGACACTGCAAAAAGCGCAAGGTTCCACCGCGTCTCTTTTATCAATGTTACTTTCATCTTGCAAATTTTTTAAAGCAATAACAGCTGGTTACTAGGCATTTAAAATATAAAAAATTTCCGCTTTCAGTTATTTTATTTAAAGCAATAACAGCTGGTTACTAGGCATTTAAAATATAAAAAATTTCCGCTTTCAGTTAAAATTTCCGAACAGCAAGTTATTTCTCACTTTCAGTGGTCGCAAAAAAACTGTCCTGTAAACATTTTTTCTTAAAAATCTAAGATATTGATTTTTGTGTCGATGCTTGAATAACATGGTCGTAATTCTT